CCTATTCCAGTCCCTGTTCCACTCCCTATTCCAGTCCCTGTTCCAGTTCCTATTCCAGTCCCTGTTCCAGTCCCTGTTCCAGTCCCTGTTCCAGTTCCTGTTCCAGTTCCTATTCCAGTCCCTATTCCAGTCCCTATTCCAGTCCCTATTCCAGTTCCTGTTCCAGTCCCTGTTCCAGTCCTGAGCTGCCTCATCCAGGTTCCTTAGGATTGTCTTTCCCTGATACAAATCACCCCCACTTGGCAGAAAAACATTTAATCCACGAGTCAAGTCAGGTCCTGAGGGAGAAATCTGGGAAAAGCCTCGCTCTGTTTGGACACAGCACTGGGATATTCACCTTTATGACCTCAAAGCAGCTGCACGTTCAGTCCCTGGCATTAATTTATATAATTTATATATATATATATATATAAAAAATAATAAATAAAAGTATATATCATATAAAATTACACAAATTAATATAATAGATGTAAATAGATAATATATTATAATATAATAAATAATATATAATATTAACAAAATTAATATAATATATAGCTGTTTTAATATATGTACATATAAAATTAATAGCATATAATAGATATAAAAATACATATCATAAGATAATATAATAATATATTAATAAGGTAATCTAATATATTGTAATATAATGATGTATATTATATTAATAAAAGTAATATTATCTATAATATAATATAGCATGTATAATATGTTATATATATTAATAAAATTATTATAAGATGTAATTATATATGTGTGTGTGTGTGTGTGTGAATAAACAGAAACTAATATAATCATGTCAGTCCCTGGACATTAATTTCAAGCTCTGCTGGGTTTGGTCCCTTCGAATCTCACCCAAGGCAGCTTTTCCCAGTTGTTTCTCCACAGGACAAACCCAGTGCTGGTGCCCAGTTTGGGATCACAAAGCCAAGGAATTTCCCAGGAGCAGCTCCACAGGAGGTTTCAACTCTGCAGCCTTTTCCTTATGGGATGTGGCAAAGGATCCTCCCAGATCCCTCCTCACCCAACAGGCTCCATCCCAAACTCTCAATCCCTCTCTCCCAGTGCTGTGAGAGGCACTCCCATGATCCCAGGAATGCTCCACAATCTGATCCATGGGGCTGCTTCCCAACAAACCCTCCTCACCCACGGCAGGAGCCGATGGATTCCATGGGGAGGAAGTGCCCAGATCGAGCCCAGGAACCTCCACAACGCTCCTCCTGCTCCACCAGGGGCAGGTTTTCCTTGGAAAAGCCACCCTGGAGCCACACAAGGGTTAAACTCCCTGTGGAATCACAGAGCACCTCCCAAGCCTTCCAGCAATTCCACAGTGCCAGGATGGACTGTGGCTCCTTCCCCAAGGAGGAAAAGGCCCCAGCTGAACCTGGTGGAGGAGGACAGGCCCCCCTGGGGTTATCCCAGAGCAGGAGCCCTTTTTTCCCATGTTTCCCAGCCCCCACAAGCCCCTTTCCCTGTGGGATTTGGCTTCTCTGGGATGAGGCAGCTCAGCTCAGGGGGGGCTTCAGCTTCCCTCCCAAAACTGATGCTTCTGCTGGGGGTTCAGCTGTCCCCCTTCCTCAAGCCAGAGCTCTGATCCCTCCCCATAATAACCCCCCTACACACCAAATCTCACAGTTTTTCCCATGGGAGAACAGACCCCACTCACCCCATAACTCCCAGTGTCCCCAGAGCAGATCCCCCCTCTGACCCCACAGCCCCCCCTTCAAAATAAAGTGCCCAAACCAACCCCCCCAAACTGCAAGCCCCAAACTCCAGCCCCTCCCCAGCCCACCAGGAGAGAGGGAGACTCCTCCCCAAAATCAGAGCTCCCCAAAACCCCCCAAGCCCTGCTGGGGAGAGCAGAGGAGCCCCCCCAAGACCACCTGATCCCCCCAAAACAGCCCTCCCCACTGTCTGTCCCCCCAAAACCATCCCACAGCCAGACCCCTCCTGACAGGATCCCCTTTCCTAAGAGGAAGGATCCCACAGAGCCCCTGTGACCGTATCCCCCTGCCCAAGGAAAACATCCCACAGCCAGAGCTGCCCCTGAGCAGCTCCCCCTTCCTAAGGGAAAGATCCTCCTTCCTAAGCGAAGATCCCACAGCCAGACCCCCTTGACCAGATCCCTCTTCCTAAGGGAAACATCCCCCTTATTAAGGAAAAGATCCACAGCCAGACCCCGCCCCCAGTTCACCCTTCCTAAGGGAGGGATCTTCCTCTCTAAGGGGAAGGATCCCACAGCCAGGAATTCCTGAGTGGATCCCCCTTCCTAAGGAGAAACACACCCACATTCACAGCCTCCTGAGTGGATCCCCCTTCCCAAGGGGAAAGATCCCACAGCCAGACCCCTCCTGACTGCATCCCCATTCCTAAGGGGAAGGATCCCACAGCCAGAGACTCCTGAGCAGATCCTAAGGGAAAGATCCCACAGTCAAATCCCTCCTGAGCAGATCTCCCTTCATAAGGGAGAAACACACTCATATCCAGAGCCCCCAGAGTGGATCCCCCTTCTTAAGGGGAAGATCCCACAGCCCTTGACCAGATTCCTCTTTGTAAGGGAGACATACCCCTTATCAAGGAAAAGATCCTCCAGCCAGATCCCTCCTGACCAGATCCTCCCTCCTGAGGGGAAGGATCCCACAGCCAGAGCCCTTCCTAAGGGGAAGATCCCCTTTCCTAAGGGAAAGGATCCTACAGCCAAAGAAGGATTCCCTTCTTTGGGAAGAGAACTCCTGACCGAATTCTCCTTCCCAAGGGAAAGATTCCCCCTTCCTATGGAGAAACACACCCACATCCAGAGCCCCTGACCAGATCCCCCTTCCCAAGGGGAAAGATCCCACAGCCAAACCCCTCCTGACCAGTTCACCCTTCCTAAGGGAAAGGATCCTCCTTCCTGAGGTGAGAGATCCCACAGCCAGAGACTCCCATGTGGATTCTCCTTGTTAAGGGAAAGATCTCTCTTCCAGAGAAAGATCCCACAGCCCTGACTGGATCCCCCATCCTAAGTGGAGAGATACCACTTCCCAAGGTGAAGGATCCCACAGCCAGAGATTCCTGAATGGATCTTCCTCCCTAAGGAAACATCCTTCAGCCCTGACCAGATCCTCCTTCCTAAGGCGGGGGGGACTTAAGGTAAAGATCCCCCTTCCAAAGGGGAAGATCCCACAGAGCCCCTTCTTAAGGAAAAGATCCTCCAGCCAGATCCCCTTGACCAGATTCCCTTTTCTAAGGGGTCCCACAGCCCTCAGTGGATCCACCTTCCCTAGGGGAAAGATCCCCCTTTCTAAGGGGAAGGATCCCCCAGCCGGACCCCTCCTGAGCAGTTCATCTTTCTTAAGGTGAAGATCCTCCTTCCTAAGGTGAGAGACCCCCCAGCCAGAGACTCCCGAGTGGATCCCATTGCCAAGGAAACCTCCCCCAGCCAGACCCCCCGACCTGCCCTCGATGTCAGACCCCGCCTCACACAACCGGCGGCCTTCCCGGTCCCGCTCCCTCAGGTCGCCCCCCCGCGCGCCCCCATCCCCGGGATCCCTCCCCATCCCCGGGGCCCGTCCTGGACCTGCCACCGCCTCCCCTCGGCACTTCCGGGTTCTTCCTCGACCGCCACCGCCCCGCCCCGACTGCCTCGCTTCCGCCGACCAATCCCACGCCGCCACCACATCCGGGCAGCGCACGCGCACCGCCCACTTCCGCCCGGCCGCGCCGCGGCTTCAGTGCCCTCAGCGGGACGTCGGGCGTGATGACGTCACCCTTAAAGGGGCAGCGCCCTTGGCTCCTGACCACCCCAAAACCGGCCCTGCTTGCTCCAAAACCAGCCCTTCCCGCCCCAAACCCGGCCCTTCCCGCCCCAAAACCGGCCCTTCTCGCCCCAAAACTGGCCCTTCTCGCCCCAAAACCGCCCCTTCTCACCCCAAAACCGCCCCTTCTCACCCCAAAACCCCCTCCCAGCCCCAAAACCGGCCCTTCTGATCCCAAAACTGGCCATTCCCACCCCAAAACCGGCCCTTCCCGTCCCAAAACCGGCCCTTCTCATCCCAAAACTGGCCATTCCCACCCCAAAACTGGCCCTTCCCACCCCAAACCCGGCCCTTCTTTCCCCAAAACTGCCCCTCTCACCCCAAAACCCCCTCCCAGCCCCAAAACCGGCCCTTCCCACTGATCCCAAAACTGGCCATTCCCACTCTAAAACCAGCCCTTCTGCCCCCAAAATCAGCCATTCCCGCCCCAAAGCTGGCCGTTCCTGCCCCAAAACTGCCCTTCACACCCCAAAACCAGCCATTCCCACCCTCAAAACTGCCCTCCTGACCCCAAAATCCCCTTTCTCACCCCAAAACGGGCCCAACAACCCCAAGCCCAGACAGGCTCAGCCTTCCAGGCTCCTCAGGTCCACCCCAGGGGGAAATCACAGCTCCACACAGGTTTTACACACTGCAGGGATTTTACTTCAGCAAAAATGAGTGAGAAGGAGGGAAAAAAAATCCTATATTTTCAGGCCAAATCTTATTTCTTGTCATATATCGAGGAAACCAAGAAAAGCTCTTTTTGCTGAAGGTTAAGGGGTGTTCCTTTAGGATTCTCCCAGCTCGGAGTCTTTGTTTATTCCTCACATCCCTCTGGGAGCGGAGTTATGAAGGAAGAGTAGAAAATTCCTGTGAGATCCATAAAATCATCGGGGGGGGGGGTTGAGGAAAGAGAGAAAAATTAAAAACCAAAGCCCTGTTGAGCTGAGCAACCCCCGGGCTGGCAGCTCCTGGCAGTTCCAGCCCCTCATTCCAGCCGTTCCAGCCCCATCCCGGCGCTCCCTCGGGGCAGAGCTGAGTCCATGGATGGGCTGTCCCGGAGCACAGCATTCCCTGGGTGCTGTCAGGACATTCCCTGCTCCGTCCCCACGTGTTTCCTGCGCCGGTGCCGGCGTTTCCTGGCGGGTGTGGCCTCCTGGGAGTTCTGGGAATTCTGGGGGTGGGGGAAGGAGAGTCCCTTGGGTGACACCCAACAGTTCCTGGGGGCCAGGCTGCACATCCTCCTCTGCTCCGGGGCCTCCTGCCCGTGTCCCAAATCCAGGGGCTGTGCCAGGGCTTTGGGGCTGGGCTGGTGCTTCCTCTTGGCACTGCCAGCATTCCTGCAAGGAAAAATCAGGAATCAGCCCCAATCAACCCCAAAAAGGAGGGTTGTGAACCCCCTCCGGGCTTACTTGGTGCCTTTTCCTGAAAGGTGGGACATCCTGGAAGAACGCCCAGCTCAAAGGAAAATGCGGTGAAAAGGGGGGAAAATGGGGGAAAATAGGATGAAAATGGGAAAAAATGGGGCAGAAATGGGAAAAAATGGGACAAACAGTGTAAAAAATTTGTGTAAAATGAGTCTGTGGGGACATGTGGCCAGAACTCGCCAGTCCTGCCGGGCCTGGTATGGGGGGAAAACAGGGGAAATTGGGAAAAATTGGAGTAAAATGGGGTGAAAGGGAAAAAACTAGGTGAAAATGGGGGAGAAAATGGGACAAATTGACAAAAACTGGGAAAAAGTGGGGTGGGGAAATGGGGAAAAAACTGAGAAAAAGCGGGGTGAAATGGGGGAAAAAACAAAGGGAAAAGGGGAAAATGGGGCAAAACCAGGAAAAACTGGCAGGAAATGGGAAAAACAGGAAGAAATGGGGTGAAAATTGGGGGAGAAATGGAAAAAAACCTCCTGATTTCCCACAGCAAGGGAAGTTTTCAGCAGGGAACATTTTTCATGCCCCTCAGAGTGGGGCTGGACAAGCCCCTCAGAGGCCCCCTGGCTCCACACGTGTCCTTGGGGTGGGTCTGGAGCTCCCACACAGGTGGGAGGTGGGAGGACACCTCTCCCAGCTGGGATTTGCCCCCCAGGACAAGGGGAAGCTCCTTCCCTGCTGAGCCCAGGAACAGGGAAAGAGGCCCCACTCCACTCTCAGGGAGGAGCTGCCTCGCTTGCTGATCCAAAATCCCTTAAATGCCTCAGCAGGAGAACATTCCAGCCCCACTGGGAACCAGCTCCAGCCCTGGCAGTGATGCCATTCCACATCCACAGGCACAGGAATGTCACTCAGAGGCAGAGCTTTGCAGGCACAAGAACCTCACCACTGATACAATAATTTCAGAGAGGTTTTTTTCCCCCATCAGAGCTGGGAAAGCAATGGGTGGGTCTTGGGAAAAGTCCAGTTCAGGGTGTTTAAAGCCAAGGGAGCAGCTGTTGGCTGTGCCTGCTCAGCTCAGGGCACAGAGGGCAGGGACAGACACCTACCTGGGCACTGCCAGGGGGGGCTGGGCCGAGCGAGGAGGGTGGGCTTTGACCATCTGCTTTCTGGGGTTTGCTGGGGCACTGCCTTTTTCTCTGAAGGGGCCTGAGCCCAAACTCTTCAGTCCACACTTCCTTAAAGAGAATTCCGTGTGTTCCTGTGTCCACTGAGTGACCACATCAGCTCCCCACACCCAAACCCACCCCCTTGGGGCACTGCCCACCCCGAAAGGGAAGGGCCAAGGAAAAAAAGCAAACTAAAGAAAAGGATCTTTAAAGCCATCACAGAATCCCAGAATGGTTTGGGTTGGAAGGGATCTTAAGGCCCACTCAGTGGCCACCCCTGCCATGGGCAGGGACACCTTCCACTATCTCACTGCTCCAACCTGGCCTTGGCCACTTCCAGGGCTCCAGGGGCAGCCACAGCTTCTCTGGGAACTCCATCCCAGCCCCTCACCACCCTCCCAGGGAAGAATCCCTACCCAGCATCCCATCTAACCCCACCCTCTGTGAGTTTTAAACCATTCCCAATGTCCTGTTCTCCCTGCCCATTCTCCTACCTTCCCCACTGGCCTGTCCCACCTCCCTTCCTGGAGCCATCCATGTTTATCCCCTGTTCCTTTCCAGCAGCATTCCCAGGGCCCATCACTCACTTCTGGACACACCAGGACTCACTTTTTCCCAGCTCTGTTCCTGAGATCCTGGATGTAGTTGGTTCTCTCTATGGGATGCCCTCGGGATCTGTTGAACACTGGAGAGGGACAGGTCTGAGCTACAACCTCTGGGGCTGAAGAGCAGGTAAAACCCTTCACAAGGATTTTAACCCCTTCAACCAAGCACAGCTCCCCTCCCTGGGGCCATCCCAAACCTTCTGACCATCCCAAATCCCAATAAATACCCCACATCCAACCAAGAACCCACACTTACACTCTATGGCAGCGTTTGGCTCCATGCCTTCAACATCAATCAGGTACCTGAGCAGAGCAGCAAGAAAACCCTAATTACACACAATTAACGAGGAAAACATCCACAGGTTGGTGATGATTCAAACAGAAGAAAGAACTGGGAAGTTTGCAGAGCTTTTATTTACATGCCAGACTGGAGTATCAGCATCTGCTGTGCTGAAATTGGAATAAAAAGTGTCCCTAATAAAAAGTGAAAATCTATGGAAGTCTGGGATTACACAGATCACTTGACTCTATTTCCTTGGCATTATTTCCTCCTGGAAATGCCACCACTTACCCCCCTGTGACGAGGACAACTCACCTGCACACCAGGTATCCAGTCCTGTTCAAGCCATGGGTGCAGTGAACCCCGATGAGTTTGTCTGTAACACACAAATCAGAGGATATTTAAGTGTCTTTTCCCCAAAATCCCCCCTGAACAAGCATTAACCCTCCATCAGACACTAATAAACTACACAGAAGTGGGCACACACAATATTCCATCACCATATTTATGTCTAATTATGTTTAATTTGTTTATTAATATTTATTTTTACCTTCTCTTACTTATTGAATTTATTATGTCTAATTTTATTTATATCTATTATGTCTAACTAGCAGCCCTGATAGAACTCTTTACTTCTGGTACAGTCCCATGACTCAAACTCAATTAAAGTTCCACTCACTGCCCAATTATCCCAGAATCATGGAATGGTTTGGGTTGGAAAGGATTTTAAAGCCCCTCCAGTCCCTGACAGGGGCAGGGACACCTACCACTGTCTCAAGTTGCTCCAAGCCCTGTCCAACCTGGCCTGGATTGTCAGAGACAACAGGAATTCCATCCCTAAAACAAACCCAACCTGTTGCCTTGACATTCCCACGCCAAGGGAAGGAAAAGAAATTCCTGCTGTTCCTTAAAACACCACTGGCCCATCCCAGTACCAGAACAGCAGGGAAACCCACACTCACCATTGTCTTTGTTGTCATTCAGAAACTTCTTTACCACACATTTGAACTGGAAAATGGTCTGTTTGTTTGGGATTTCGTGTCCCATGGTCAGGATCTTCGAGTAGCAGAGTGTGGCTGGGAGCTCCTGCAAGAAGCACAGTCCATAATTTCCAGAAAAAGCATAAGGATTTTTATTATTAATGAACCAGAAGCCAGAAAACGAAATTTTCAACTGAGCCTAAAAGAGCAGTAACAGTTTTAGGTAAGAAAAGCTCTGCTTCACTCCTTTGACATAGCACCAAAATTCCACATTATTTTTTCTGCCTCTCTTTCCTCCCTGGGGAGGGCACACAGAGGCTGGAACACTTTTCCAAGCAATTATCCACACACTCAGAGCTGTTTGCAAACAGGAGATCCCATAAAAGCAGCTTTAGGGTATCCCCAAACTCGTGCTGGTTGGTCTGGGGTTGGAGACCCCAGGGTGGTACTTGAACAAGGACAAAGACCCCCATGGGGCTGCAATGGTTCATCTCATCCCCTGTCAGAGATTCCAGTGCCTCACACTCTTCCAATTCTCCTCCTGGAAGCAAATCCTGCCCGTTCCCAGCCGTCCCAGACTCACCTCTGGCCCATAGTAGCGCCTGGTGTAGGTGAGGTCAATGATCAGCCCCAGCTCCTCCTTCCTCTCCCTGACTTTCCTGATGAGGTCACGAGGGGAAAACCTCTCCTCTGGAAGGAGATTCCTGTCAAAACTCTGAGGGGAAATCATGTTTCAGAGCAGACATTAAATTGGAGTGTGTGTGAGGGGTGGGAAGAGTTTCCTGCTCCAGAACTCCAGGAGACCAGGGAGAAGGACTCGGGGAAGGAGCAGAGGCTGAGGCAGGTGGACACAGAGTTACTGGGTCCAATCATGGCATCAGGGAAGGAGTTGGGTTGGGAGGGACCTCAAAGCTCATCCAGCTGCACCCCCACCATGGGCAGGGCTGGGCTTTGGGACAGCTCAGCTGTGGGCTTCCAAAGGTCACCAAAAACTTCCCCCTGAGGCAGAACCACGGTGAGAGACACCCCCAGACACTGAAGGTGCTGTTTGGGGGAAGCTGTAAACCAGGTCCTTCATCTCAGATCCATGGAATCTCAGAATTACTGAGGCTGGAAAAGCCCTCCAAGATCATCAAATCCACCCTGTGATTGATCCCCCCAGCCCAGAGCATGGAGTGCCACGTCCAGGCCTTCCCTGGGCACCTCCAGGGGTGGGGACTCCACCACCTCCCTGGGCAGTTCCAATGTTTAACCAACCCTTTCCATAAAGGAATTTCCCCAGTGTCCAACCTGACCCTCCCCTGGCACAGCTGGAGGTTGTTCCCTCTCCTCCTGTCCCTTGTTCCCCAGGAGCAGAGCCCGACCCCCCCCAGCTCCCCCATCCTGTCAGGGGGTTGCAGAGTCAGAAGGTCCCCCCGAGCTTCCTCTTCTCCAGGCTGAGCCCCCTCAGCTCCCCAGCCCGACTCTCCCCCCTGTGCCAGGTGAACACCCAGCCCTGCTCCCCACCACGAGCTCTGGGACCCCCCTGGACTCACCCCTGGGTGTGTTTCAGGTGGGTCTGTTGTGCCACAGGGACCCCTCACAGCCCCCACTCCCCAGATGTGGCTCTGGCACTGTGTTCATCAGGAATTCACTCCCTGAATCTACACAAAGTGCCCCTTTCCCAGGGCTGTTTCCCACCCCAATGCCCCCCCAGGCCCCTGGGGGTCCCTCACCTTCTTCAGGGGCACCTTGAAGGCAATGAAGCGGGTTCCTGGCATCCTCCTGCCCAGGGGGATGTAGTCTGTCCACCTGGATCCGGGCACGGGGGGGTTAAACTGAGGGAGAGACCCCAGACCTGGGACCCACAAACAGCCCCTGGCCCGGGACCCTCAAACCCCTCTGCACTGGGGACCCTCAAACCCCTCTGCACTGGGGACCTTCAAATATATCCCAGGTCTGGAGACCCTCAAACCCTCCCCTGGCCGCAGGACTCCCAAACCCCCCAGGCCCAGGACCCCCAAACCCGCCCTGCTCTGAGAACCTCAAACGCCCCCAGGCTTGGGGACCCTCAGACCCCCTCAGGCCCAGGACCCTCAAACTGCCCCGACCTTCAAACACGGGACCCCCAAACTCGCCCTGGCCCGGGGACTCTCAACCGCCCTGGTTCGAAACCGTCCAACCCTCCCTGCCCGGGACCCTCAACCCTTCCAGATCCAGCGACCCTCACACGCCCGCGGACCCTTAAACCCCCCTGTCCCACAGACCCTCACCCCTCTCCCCTCCCTCGCCCACGACTCCCAGTGACGTGGCCACTGCGGTGGGTCAGGGCCGGGCCGGGTCGGACAGGGCCGCACTCACCGCTCGGGGACCCGGGCGGCCCCCCTGCCCGCCATGACAGCGATGGCGCCGCGCCCCGCGCGTCACTTCCGCTTCCGCCCCGGCCCCGCGGGGACAGCAAGGCCACGCCCACTCTGAAGACCACGCCCATTGCTGTGAGACCACGCCCACAGATCGTGAGCCTACAGGCGGAAGGACACGCCTACAGATGGTGAGACCACGCCCCCCGCGGCCCTGTCGGGCTCTGGCGCCGCCTATCGGTCACGGATGGGAACGACAGCGGCGGGACAGGGAGCGGGACAGGGACAGGGAGAGGGACAGGGAGAGGGACAGGGACAGGGAGCGGGACAGGGACAGGGACAGGGAGAGGGATCGGGACAGGGACTGGGACAGGGACTGGGAGAGGGACAGGGAGAGGGACAGGGAGAGGGAGAGGGACAGGGACAGGGAACAGGAGCGGGACAGGGAGCGGGACAGGGAGCGGGACAGGGACAGGGAGTGGGACAGGGACAGGGAGTGGGACAGGGAACAGGACAGGGAGAGGGACAGAGACAGGGAGCAGGACAAGGACAGGGAGCGGGACAGGGAGCGGGACAGGGAGCAGGACAGGGAGAGGGAGGGGGACAGGGACAGACAGGGAACGGGACAGGGAGCGGGACAGGGACAGAGAGCGGGACAGGGAGCAGGACCTGGACGAGGAGCAGGACCAGAACCAAGACCAGGACCAGAACCAGGATAGGGCTGGCACCAAGACCTCCTGCTTTTCTAGCTAAGCCTGTAATTAGTGCTCAGCCGAGGAGCAGGAGCCGGCCCTGGGAAGGAGCTGTGGCTGCCATGGGATATGGGACAGGGACTGGCTGAGCCTGGAAAACTCATCTCACACCTGGCCGGTGAGTGGGCATTGCCGGAACCAGGACCAGGACCAGGACTGGGACCGGGACCAGGACCAGCATCACCAACCCAGAACCAGCATCAATGGCCCAGAACCAGGACCACTGTCACCACCCCAGTACCAGAACCAGCATCAGTGCTCCAGAACTTGTACCAACATCTCAGTTCCAGTGCCAGCATCACCACCCCAGAATCAATGTCACTGTGCCGGTACCAGTGTCACCACCCCAGCACCAGCACCAGCACCAGCACTCTAGAACCAGCATCACTGCCCCATACCAATATCACCACCCCAGTACCAGC